AAAGCACTGTGATAGCCCAGGGGGTCACACTTGCCTTGCAGCCTCTGGAGAGGGAGATGCAGCAAGCAGAGACCTGTAGCTGCGCCTGAAATTTCTGTTTCTAATAAACTTAACAAATGGTTCCCATCTGTGTGGTCTGTCTCTCTGCCATCTTTAAATATTTATATCAACGTATCTATGGTGATAGGTTAGGTTATATAAGTGGGGGGGGGAGTATGGGGAGCAGTGGGGAAGGACAGCATCAGCTCCTGCTGGAGCTAAGGCCAAGGGAGAGCAAACCTGAGTGGGTTTCCCATCCACACAGGCACTCTCTCTTCTCAGATCATGAGCCCAGAAAGTGAACATTCATTTTTCTCAGGGCATCAGGGAGGGCTGGGCCACAGCTGGGCTGAGCTTCGCTTTGCGAGGTGCCATGTGGAAGAGCAAGAGCCCAGCCCATCGATGCAGAGCGCTCTTATTGTATAATCAATGTATAATTCATTAGTAGGTGAATAAAGAATGGAATAGCCTATTGCTGATGCAATGGGGCTAAAAAGAAAGCAAGCACGTCCATGAGCAAGCTGCTACACACGGGGGTTAAACAATACCACTTAGTGACACTGACAGGCAAGAGCGGAGATTTTGTCTTGGGATAATATAAACAACCCAGCTAGCAGGCTTCCAGTAACTCCAGGGAGAGCAATGCAGGGATATGCATCTTTCTGCAAAAATGCTGGGAAGGACCTTTCCTTTTTTCTTGCTGGGTTTTAAGGGAATAGCATCTAGAAAACAGCAGGGCAGCAGCTGTTGGTTGGGACCTCCAGGCTTGTCTGAAATTATTTCTCCCAAGATGCGCCAATTCCTCACGAATTGAGAAACCACCATGTATTTCTTCCAGACAAAGAGATGGCTTTTTCTCCTTGACCCTCCTGGCAGGGGTAGAGGTAGATATGCAGTTTGCCTCCAGGCATAAATTTGTTTGATGGCCCCCCAGAATGCCGGGTGACAAGGTAGCAATTACTATGTGCTGGGGGTGAGAGGGTCAGCACAGCAGGAAGCAGAGCAGCTTCACCAGCAGGCCTGCAATTGGTCATGGGTTTGGCAGCTACAGCCAAAAGCTGCGTAGCACACACAGACTGTGTTTTTCCAAAATAGCCTCCAAGGCTGCTCTGGAGCTCCTCCTGCTCAATCCTGTGCTCTACCCCACTGTCCCACATGGTCTTACATCTCTCAGTGGACAGGGTTGATGTTTGCTGCCAGTTGCTCAGTCTCCCAGAAGACGAACTACACAGTTCAGAAAAAAATCACTTTTCAGCCCAAGACTGCGTTTTACTAACAGAGAAAGCTGCAGTGACCCTCCATGTGAAAGTTGCAGGCCATGTGTGATCCAACCGTGTATTCACAGCAGCTTCTGACCTTACCTCCTTTCAGCTGTGCTGGCAGAGATCTATGTGGGGCATCTTCCACCTCTGGCTGCATTTCTAGAGGAGAATTATAGCCAGATGCTTTTGCAAATGCATTGCTTCTGCAGCTGGTTAGAAAAACATATGTCTATCAACTATTACCTCCAAAAATATTTAGTGTGTCTTCAGCTCATAAACACAGCTTTCTTTACCTTGGCAGGAGGTGGCTTCCTTACCATCCCAGCATGCAAAAGTCCACCCACATTTGCCAACTCTAAGGCTTTGGAAGGACTTGCTCAGCGGTGTCTCCTCGAGGAGCTTGCTGCAGGCATGAATCCAAGCTGCACAGCAAAGGGGCTGTTGCATGAGGAAGTTGTGTTTCGAGGGCAGTGGGAACTGGCAGACACAGTCAATAGAGCAGGAAATAGCAAACCATTTTGTAGTTGAGACATCACACCACGAGACTGAAAGATTCTCACACTCACCAGCAAATCCCTCTAGAGACTCAGTATATTACTTAACCTGTGCTTTTCACAAGTGCTCCGAGTTCCTTGTTTTTTTTCTGAGTACTGAAAAACTTGATTTGCAGAAGCCCTGATCATCCTTGGCTGTTGTGCAAAGCTGCACACTGCCCACCTGCAGCTCTCCCTGAGCAATACATTGAAAAAGCATCATCCACTGCTGTCGGAGCAGATGCTGGGAAAGCTCATCTAGCTCATAAGCAAGCTATGGTCAGGCTACCCAGGAGCATGTGGCAAGCCCCACAGAAGGCCTCAGGGGAATTTGATGTTCATGTTAGCAGAGCAGGACCTGAGCAGTGCATGGGCAGTGAAGGGTGGAGAGCAACACAGAAGGCTTCTTGCTGCTGCCATGGGCTGATGTTCCCTGGTCCCATAGGTTTATAGGTAGCGCCTCAGGTTTGCAGGTACCTCCACAGGCCAGAGCAACCTGGCCTTAGGTTGCTCCCTCTTCCCATGTCCTCAGATAGAGCTGGAGGGTTGTCTAAAGCAAAAGGAAAAGGGTAACTCATGAGCCCAAGCTAACACATGCTCATAGAGAGGCCAAGCCGCGATTGCCCAGATGACTTTAGTGGAAATAACTGATAATTGCTGCAGCTTAACTGACAATTAGCTGAAGCCAATTCACAATTAATATTTAACTTTACACCTTTGTTTTGTACTTTTTTTTTTCTCCTGCATATGCCTACATAAATAGGATTTCTTTCCCATCAAAGTGTACGTTGACATGCTTTATGACAAGCAGCTTCCGCCAGAGCAAGCCCCAGGAAGGCTCACTGCTCTGCAGGTGTTTCCTAGCCTGTCTGCCAGCTTGCATCCCCAGTGCTCAGCTCCATGCTCTTCTCCCAACAAAATCTCTCTCTTGCTCTTCTCAACACTGTGTAAATCTTGGCACCGCGTATCAATAAGTTCCTGGGATTTTGCTCTGGTTGCACAAGAGCTGTATTTTGCCCCCAGCGAGCAGCAAATTAAGGACATTGTAGGACAGGGACTTTTTGTGGGCAGAAGTGTAAAAATACTGTTTAACGCTCACCCACCTCGCAGGTTCCATCCAGCCATCTCTGCGTGCTGCCACTTCTACAACTGTGAAACAAATGTTAACGCTGCACATTTCTGTAATGGGTTTCTAAAATTCAAGGAGTTGAACATATCTGCTTTTCTGCTCCTGAAAATTACAGCAGGATGCCATTGCAGGGTGGCAGGAACCCCTGCTGCTACACACAACATAAGCTCTGGGAGAAGAGCGTGTCCAGCTGGGCATGGCTCTGTCACCTGCTCATTGAAGGTGCTCCTCCTTGGGACAGGCGAGCACCAGCTGCCTGGGGAGTATTTCTTCCCAGCACTGAAAAAATTACTGAGTGCCCTCCATGATGCAAACCACCGAGCAATGCAGACAGCCTCATGCACGGCAGAAAAAGAGAAGGAATGAAGGCCTTTCCCAAGAAATTCATCTTTATTTAAGCAACCATGGGTCACATGAGCTGCCAGCTGGCCTGAGGAATAACAGTAGCAGTGGGTGGACAGTAGCAGTTGGAGCTCACAAGGGAGATTGTCTCTTTCCAGAGATGAAGATACATGATAGTACATATACAAGTGAATATTTTCTCATCACTAGAAAGTGAGTATGCTGTCAAGTGCATATCACCCCTAAATCCCTGCCAGACTCAGGTGTGTTGGTGACTGCCAGGAGGTAGCTTGAGTACTACACTGGAGCAGTTTGAAATGGATCCTGCTTCCAGTGGAGTCAATGGTGAAGCTCCACTGGTCTCAAGGGAGTGGGATGAGAAGTGATAGCCCTCCCTTACCCCTTCACAATGCAATTCTTTCTAACACAAGGCATTTGCAGGCATGTTAAAATGCCAGCCAAGTGCTGTAGGCTGTACTGCTGTTCTTGCCTGTGTAGCAGCCCCTGCCTGAGGTACAGGACCTGTCCTGAACATCAGCATGGGGGTTTCCATGTTTATCTCAATAAACAATTGCTACTTATTATTTTTCACAGCTAAAAGCCACTACATAGGAGAGGAGTGAAAGGTGTTGTTGGTTCAACAGACATTTCATGCATCCATATAACTTACAGCAGGTGCTACATCCATTGCAATGATGGGTTTCAGCTCAGAAGCAGCTCTGCCTCTTCACAAGGGCAAAGCATGCCAGGGAGCCGTTTTTTTCAGCTAGACTGACAGCCTTTTTAAAGTTCTGTTTATTTTTGATAAGGTGGTGCAAAGGGGATGTGGAGTTGGACTTTGTAGCTTTTGACCTGGCTGGAGATCAGTCCTGTTCTCTTATAGATTTAAACTTCTGTGTGTATGTGTAATATCAAAGTCCTTTGGCACACAGCAGCACAGTGGGTTAGTGAAGCCAAATACAACAGAGCTGGGGCTGGAAGTTGAACAAGCCCCTGTGAACTCACTGTGTCATCAAGCTCGAGGAGGTTGACTAAATCCTAAGAATTAAAAAACAATGTTATACTGGATTAGTAAGGAAGAATAACAGAGGAATGTGTCCTTGTGCTGGTCAGTTGTTTCAAAGCTCATGCACTACTTTCTGATTTTTCTCCTGATTTCTGGCAATGTTTGAAAATAGAGGAAAAACAGCTGACGGTCATTGGATACCTACGTACTCCAGTGTGATCAGAAATGTGTCCAAAGTCAACTCTTGTGAGTGAACAGTCTGGGAGAGCACATTTCCCATCAGTGATGACACACTTTGTGTCCATTTATTTACTGATTGCACAAGATTGATCCTGGGCTGCGATCCAAAACCATCCTCCTAGAAACATTGCATCTTTGGGGGTCACAAGAAACTGCTCAGATGACTGTGATTTTTGCTGGTCTTCTCCCTCCATTTTTGTCCTAGGGGTCTCTTCGTATCCTACTCGTGGAGCTATGGCCCATACATCTCCCGGTAAGGGAATCTGCATCTCCGAGCCCAGGTGCCTTGTTTGTTTGAGGCAAAGATGTGAGACTTCTCCTCAGAGCATCATCCCCTCTGACCAGCTTGGAAATGCAGGACAGCTAGTAGTGCAAGAAAGGGAAACGTGTGACACATGTCCCACCATCTGACCCCTGCAATACCTCCCCAGGGGATGTTGTGAGTGAATTCAGACGTTTTCCTGTGTTAAGAGCTGGCTCTACCTGGTAGAGATGCCCAGGCATCGGGTTTCTACCTCTCTCGCAGGATGTATTTGCCTTTCCGGTCCAGATTGCTGCTGAAGTGGATGGAGAACCAGAGGAATGAAGATAGGATCATTCCATAAACCTAAAAGGAAATAAATGAGACAGGCATACAACTAAATGGATAACTGATTATGATCCTCCATCTATGCAAATAAGCAATCATAGATGTTGCATTTGGCCATTTGGCACTTCTGAATTATGTATCAGGGTGTCACATTTTTCTTAAGAGAGCTGTTTTTCAGTGATGTGGTGAACACCAATTCTGACATGGGAGAAAAAAAAAAAAGGCAACATGTAGTTAAAACATCTGATTGGAATTAGCACAGCACAGCTCAAACCCAGCCCTAAAAATACCAAGAAATAAGATGAAACCAGGAAATTCATATTTCAAATTCCTGCCACAAACATTCTTCTTTGCAAACAAACATGTCTCTCTCATAATAATAGCCTTTTGTAAAGATATCATGGGGGAAAAAAGCCCCACCCATGTATTGTTTGGAGTAAAAAACTAACAAAACAAACAAACAAACACCTAAACCAACTCCAAACCCTATCCCACAAACCTGCGTAGTTACAAATACAGAGGAGAGCGTACTTCCTCTATATTGTGATATTCTGCCTGATATATCACACACCAGGATTTACACAGGCAACATATCAAAGGTAAGGCTTCTGTGGGAAGGATAACAAGGGCTTTAACAACATACTCTTTCCTAAAGTATGCCCTAATGTTCAAGTGCCTTTGCTTGCAGCTTGATCTGGGGACATGTGTGCATTGTTGGATGAGGGACAGTGACATCAGAGCAGCTATAGCCCTCTTCACATGCTTCCTTTGCATCCTGCCATCACAATAGTGAACTGTGCAGTGAAGTTTCCTCTAGCACAAGCTTCAAAGACAGCCGCCTTATCTGGTTATGGCATCAAGCTGCGAAAAAAGGATACATATAACAAAAATGCTCCAGCTTTTATCTGAATATAGCCGCAGTGAAATTTTCCCTATAGCTGAGAAAAATTGGAAAGTGACATCAAATATTCACACGTGACTTTACATTTATAGCTCCATAGCAATGCCTGATGGTTTGCTTAATTTACTGCTAGCAGTATAAAATTAAAAAGAGTTTGTTACTCTGGGTTTTTTTTAAGATGGACAGGAATCTTCTAACCCATAATTGTGCCAAGGTGGACACAAGATGTAAAACAATCTTCAAGTACACTTTCAGTCAGGAAAGGTCATCCCAGCTGGGGATCAGCATGGAGATATCACAGCAGACCAAACCTCCCTTCGCGGTGAAGAAATGAGTCTCCTGGCACATTCTCTTTTCTTTTGTGCAACACCACACGTGCAGAGTGCTTGTGTAGAGGTAATTACAGTGATCCACCTCTGCCAAGCAGTGGGTGGGCATATAAGCAGGCTGTCTTTAATTAGTGACCCTCTCCAGCTCCAAAGAGACCACCTCCATGCAGCCACTGAGCAACCCCATCACTGAAAGACGTGCTCCTCTTGCAGCATTTCATTTTTCCTTTTGTCCTCCTCCAAATAATACTCACAAATTCAGTGCACATCCTTTACACACAAGCCATCCTCTGAAGATTATTTGACCCCTCCTCTGCAAGATTCTCCTTCAAAGACAGAACCTGGGAGCCCAAACAACATGCTCTGCTCCTTTCCTTTGCAGCCTGCTCCTTCCAAGCCCATGATTTACCCACTCACTGCCTGAGATGAACCTTACTGGGTTTGTTAGCTGTCATTATTAGAATGAGACCTTCCCTTTCTGCACAGCTCTCCAACTCCACTGCTGGTGTTCAGTAGCTTTCAGGACCTTCCAGCTCTAGCTGCACCAGCAACTTCCCAGGCTGAGCTAGGAAGCAGCAGGTTTCCTAAAATATGGAGCTTTTACTGCATCTCCTTTTCTACCACTGCTGCTGGCTTCCTACCTGGTCTGCAAGCCCCAAGCCAGGTGACATGACCTCTCACTTGCAGGTGAAGATACACAGGCAAGCCTGAGTGGATGAAATGCAACTGCTGCTGCATCCTGCTCCCCAGTGCCAGCTGCTGTGCCTCATTTGGGCAGAAGAACTGTGCAATGAGCCTATTCCTGCAGGAAAACCACTCCATCAATTAGCCTGGCCAAGACAGGTCCTGGCCCTTTCCTAATTTCCATAGTGGAGTCCACAACTTCTTGTTTCTCTGCTGCTGGTCTCCAGAATCACTCAAAATCTTAGCTTTTGGGGGCTAAATTAGGACAGCTTTCCTCACAGGGGCCTGCCTTTCAGGGACCAAAATGCAAAAGGACAGACAGTGTTACCGTGAAGCCAATGGCGATGCCCAGGAGCGAGAAGACGAAGTCCATGTGCTTCTTCAGAAAGTCTTGGATCTCTTGCAGGCAGTCCTGGGAAGAGAGAGACACCCCTTGCAGCACATCAGCAGCTTGGTGGGTAACTTCGGACCAACACCACTTGCCACAACCCCAGACAGGGAGGCAAGAGAGGGGCACAGCATTGCACAGCTGGGAATCTCTCCCTTTTTTTACTGCTGCTGCTGCAGCTTGGCAAGACAAACACCTGTGGTACATTTTCTATTACTACAACATGCCTATGATTTTCTTGGTGTGATGCATTTTGGACTGTGGAGGATGTGTGTGTAAGTGTGGTCACGAAAAAGCTTTTTTCTTATCACTGACTGGAAAATGGAGAGAGGGAAATGGAAAGATGGAAAAGCAGAGCACACCATGATGCTAAATGCATTCCCCAAGGTTACTAATGAATAGCTCAATTTTGCAAGGTGCTGCAAGCATTAGTATACGTTAGTCTTAAGCATGCCAGTGACCCTACAAAAATCCAGGAGGCGTTAGCCAAGAGAGCCATTTCAGAAATGCAAAAGTTTGCCCTTGATGAAGCGATTTGCAGAGTGACGTAAGAGTGCCCAAAGCCAGTAGTGAATGTAGTGCAGCCACCAAACTCTGTGGTTTCCTGTGTTACAAAGCACATCCTCCCACCCACTTCCCCAGCTCCAAGGCAAGGGAAACACAAACAACTATGTAGGAGGGATGGAGTCACCCATACGGTGCCCAGCTTTGTTCTGCTCTCCCTTCCTGCTCTTTGAGCCGAGATCGACCCTGCCTGGAGATGTGACGTGCCCAGAAGCAATGCTTTGAAACACTGCCCTGTGGGCTGATGTGCCTGCACATCACAGTGTCCTGTTAGAGCCTGACATCTTCATCTGACAACAATGTGTTTGTATTGCTGTAGCGACACGGTTATATTTTTCCTAGAGACGGCATATACTGATGCTGGTGGCGTTAGATACTTCAGTTACTAGTATTTGGCTACTCCAGCAGAAGAAAAATAATTGTAAAATAGGTTCACTCAGAGAATATGAAGTCTAGATTGTGGCTTCAGTGCAGAACAATCTATTACTGGTGGCTTCTCCTTCAGCCTCACCGAGATACTGCAAAAGAGGACGAATGAAGTGTGCTTGATGAAGCTACTGCTGGGTATCATCATCCTGCTTCATGAGTTTCTCATTTTATTAACTGTTTAATGCCCCGGGAAAAAGGAATAACATAAAATTCCACATTGGCTGTTAGTAGAACACATTTTAAGCCTCAGAAACTAGTGTCACATAGAAAAGCCAAAGAGTTTTTTTGCACTCGGACACATGCCCATGATATCTCAGACTATCTGTGTGCACAGCAGATGAAGAGGAGGCTGGAGGGAAGTGACAGGCTGCAAACACAAGCATTTTGGAGGCTTTCTAGGACTGCAAAGGAAACTGCATCTGCGAGTGTATGACTCGCCCCACCGGGGCTCCTCCTCCTAATTCACAGAATTGTACAATCATAGAATAGTTCGGGTTGGAAGGGACACTAAAGATCATCTAGTTTCAACCTTCCTGCTATGGTCAGGAACACCTTTCACTAGACCAGGTTTCTCAGAACTTCATCTAGCCTAGCCTTGAACACCTCCAGGGACAGGGTATCCACAGCCTCTCTGAGCAACCTTTTCCAGTGCCTCATCACCCCTCGCAGTAAACAATTTTTTCCTAATATTTAATCTAAACCTAGTCTCAGTTTGAAGCCATTCCCTCTTGTCCTATCACTATATGCTCTTCTAAAAAGTCTCTCTCAATCCTTCTTGTAGGCTCTCTTCAGGTACTGGAAGGCCACAATTTGGTAACCTCTAAGCCACCTCTTTTCCAGGGCTGAACAAACACAATTCTCTCAGCCTTTCCTTGTAGGAGAGGTGTTTCATCCCTCTAATCATCTTAGTGGCCTGCTCTGGACTCGACTCAAGAGGCTGATGTCCTTCCTGTGCTGGGGACCCCAGAGCTGGAGCAGCACTCCAGTACTGCATCCAGTGTTGTTATTGATACAGCAAAATCCCAACAAAACAAACCCCAACCCATTTCAACCCCAAACCATGAAAAAGCCACAATTCTCATTAACACTAACTCCAGAGAGGTTTTGACAGGTAGCAAGTAGTGGCACAACCTCACTGTGGGGTGGGAGAAACTTTTACCTTACCTGTCCTGTACTGTGTGCCTGGTCGGGTGGGCATGTCTGGTGCTCAACGTTGTTTGTGTCCCCAAAAGGAGAGTGCTTCCCACAGCACAGGAACTGGAAGAGAGGGAGAAGTCTGCCAGTCACCTGCCGGGGCTCTCCCCTCGCCATCAGCTGCTGCAGCAATCAGGAGGTGTCAGCAATGGGCCACTTTTCCTCCCTGTTGCTCCAGGCAGGGCTACCCAGCTAGGGCAGCAAGGAACAAAGCACGTAGGTATGGAATCAACAGCTGCAGCTAAATTCAGAGGAGGTGGGTGGATTTGGTCCCAAACTTGCTTAAGCTCCTCCAGGACTGCTGCCTGGGACTGAGGCCAAGGCCTCTCTCCACAGTCATAACCAATGCTCACAGTGGCTGCTCTGGAAAACCCAGGGATGCACAGTCATGTTTCCAGTGATTGTTATGGGCTGAGGGAAACTCCAGCAACACCCACTGTGGAGCTGGTTTCCTGTAGCCATGGTGCACTGTCCAGATTAGAGCTCTGGCAGAAGGAAAAAAATAATAGGAGGAGAAGGACTGTTTCTCCATCAATTAAAGTGTCTAAAATAAACAACTGGTGAAGCCTGTTTCTCCCTGGTTCTCTTTGTCAAGTGAGACTCTGGGCGTGCTGCTCCACAACCCTGAGAGCAAGCACCTCCATGCCTGGTCATGGCTCTGAGGGCCACCACCATCACTGCAATGAGAAACATTTGCCCTCCTCTGCATTCTGAGAAGCATGGAGAGAAGTGGCTTTGGAAAGTACTTGTTATGATGATTTAAGAAAACACAGAAGGATAAAGGGAGTTGCGTGGGAGGTGTCTGGAAACAGGCAAGCAGAGCTGACCTTCCCACCCAGACTTGCTGTGTACCATGAACTCACTACCCAAACAGGCCCTGCTGTGCAAGGGGGGCGGCATCTCCTGTACTCAGCAGGGACTCATGAGTTTCTCACCATGGGGGACATCCTCACTCATCTCCTTTGGTTTCAAGGGCAAGCATCCTCCCTGTGCTCTGGGTAACCACCCCTGCCCACCTACTGAGCTACAGAGAAGTCCCCTACACCAACAGCATCCTAGGCAGTGTTTTTTGGGAGCTTGATATAAGTTTCCAGCTCTGTAAAAGGCCATGTAGCCTCCAGCACTCCTCAGCCATATACTCAGGGGTAAATAGAAATAACCAACTCCAAATACTACTGCTAGACTATGTGGGATTCCTGCCCCTCCTCTCTACTTGACCAGGTATGCATCCACATTTTTGTACCACAGATAGGGAGCAGGGCAGAGGGCAGGCTGAGACAGACAATACGTGTATCAGCTGCAGTGTGGAAGTTTTGTAGATCTTGCACCACAGTGATGCTCTGATAGGTGACCCTTTCCTCCTGTTGATAATTTGGTTGGTCAGACCTGGGAAAGGAAGAATAGGAAGGGAGGAGCAGACTCCACAGCAGGCTGGAGGACTTGGTTCCTGAGGGAAAATGGCATTGCAGCACCCACAAGGCAAAACTCAGGTGTCAGTCCCAGCCTGCTGAAACTATCGGGAAGATATCCTAGGGCAAGGTTTTCTGCTGCGGCCAAAAGACAACTTACTGCTTTGTGGATGGCAGTCAACTCGTGCCTCCTGGAGCTGGAGGTGTTCCTCCTCACCTCCTCGTACACAAAATCATACACATCCATCATGCTGTCTTCTACCTGCAATGAAAGCAGAGATCTGTACATGCAAAACACTGATCACAGTCATCTCTGGAGGGAATTATGCTCTTCTTGAATTCCCCCAGAAGCTCTCCCAGGTATAGCAATACAAGCAGTGTAGCTATTAAATGACCCCCACACAGCAGCAGGAGCTGGTGTATGACCCACTATGCACCAAGTGAGCTAGGACACGGTAAGTCCCATGAGAGAGTCGGTGGCACTGCAGGTGTATGACCTTCTGCCATGCATGGACCCTTCAGCATCATGCTGGGGCCTCACTAGCTGTTTGATGGAGCTTTTGGCTAGTTTTGGATTTAGTGTCAGAGAAGAACTCAGGTACCTGTGACCAGTGTTCCTCTGAGTTCCTCTGCCAGGCAAGGATGATGCCATCTCCCTGTCCTGATGTGGGTACTGTGAGGACAGGCACACAAAACCATGAGATGCTAAAATACAAAGGCGAGAGGACCTCAGAGGGCTGGTGTTATCCCAGTGACAGACCAGTTTTTCCGAACAGAGCCAAAAAAATAACAGGAGTGATTCAGTGGTGAGTCAGACCCTAAATATTTACCAAACGTGTAAGAACTTGCAGCTTGACAGATCCCAGCCAACTCCTGCTCGGGTGTCAAAGGAAAAAAAATATGACAATTGCTTTCACTGCCTGCAGTCAAAACCTTTATTTCTTCCTTTCCTTTTCCCTTGCTTCTTCAGGAACACTGAGCTGAGTGGGTCTACAGGCAGTGTTTGGCTTTCAGGAGGGAAAATCAATGGGTGAAACAGGCATAGCAGGTGGCTGCATGGGGAAGGATGGGCACTCCAGGAACAGAGCCACCCCTCAGTAAGGCTTTGCACCTCAGACTTCTGAGCCAAGGAAAATATCCTCTGTAGAAAAATGTGGGACACTGAGCTGTTCCACACACGTAAGGAGGGAAGATCCTAATTTTGTTCCCTCTGTGTATCAGAGTGCATCAAGTAGGATGGGTGCAGCAGTAAGACAAGATCTCTAGCAGACTTATGCATCAACCTTCCCCCGAGAAAACCTTAAAACCCAATACAAAAGAAAACAACCAAGCTTTTCTAACTTCTTGTGGCCATGAAATCACTTTCCAGCAGCTGCAATTAGATAAATGGATTCAATAAAAAGAATGTCCATTTCCACTGAAGAATTGGATTAAGAAAAATGAAAAAAGAATAATCTTTTGACCTTCTCTTGTGGAGGAAGGAAGAACAAAGCAGCTGGCTTCTTAACCCAAGAGATTATTACCTTTTGAATATCACAACTCCAGTCTGAGATTCAGGAATAAAAACTATTTTGTGCTGTGATAACATACATATGGGTTTTGGCAAAGTAACAGTGCTGCTTGTGCAATTTCTGCCTTTTAATATTTATCATTAGACTCAGGATGCTGAGCTTTCCTCCAAAAGACCTAGATTTGGATGACTTAAAAGAAAAAAAAAAGTTAAAAAAGGGTTCAAGCAAATTAGTTTCCAGGTTCAAGCAAGAGTTCAGGGGTTAAAAGCTATCCAGAAGTTTAACTGCTTCTAAAGGTCTCTTGAAGTCTGGGACAGGAAAAGTTTGGACAGATAGTTTTAAGTCTTCTGCCTTGGCTGGGCACGTTCCCCAAAACCTCATGAAAAATGTCAAAAAAAGTTGCGTTCGCTACAGTGAGCTTTGAGCTGGGTCTTGCTGCTGACTTTACAATTATATTCAACTTAAAACAAGGTAAGATGAGACTTTGTCCAGTGATGTTTCAACTACAAAGACCATCGCAGGCTCCCTGTAGGAGTAGGCTCTGACAATGCCACCAGAACAAATTCACTGTGCAGGAAATTCAATGTTCATTATACTTTGTGCTGATAATAAACCTCAGAGACCAACTGAGGCTGATGTCCTCCTCAGCAGCCCCTCTGGTGGTCACGCTGCACTGAGTAACCTGTGAGGAGGGCAGGAGTTCTGCCCAGATGCTGACAGCTGCTGGCTGCTGCCTGTGGCAGCTGCCAAACTGGTGAGCTCCTGCCAGCTTCATGAAACCCTGAGAGGATCAATTTGGTCAGGAGAGGTGCTGCCTGATATAGTGGTGCACGTTTGCACCTTCCTTATTATTTCAGGTACCATACAGTGATGTCAAACGTTGAGACTGAGACTGTTTGAAGGATGAGAGTGGATAGGAAAGAACTGAAGGAACAAAATGCCCATAATAAAATCATGGCAGAAAATTAATTCAATTGTTGGAAACAATAATGGAAGAAACCACAAGCAGTGTCAACATTTCACAGCCCGTTCAACTACTGTGATGGTGATGATGATGGTAATCTCCAAGTACATAATGACTGCTAAAGACTTCAATTGCACCATTTCTGAGCTCACTTGTGAACTGACTTCTCAGTTATCTACTTTTTTTTTTTATTTTCATTTTGTCAAGGAGCCTCCAAAACTTGAAACACAAGGGATTAAATGAAAAATATATAATAGCAATAACTTCCTCTTAGAATGTGTGTCTGGGCAAGCCTAAGAGTACAATTTGCTGATTAGTCATTCTCAGCATTTTTATCTAGCAATTATATCTAGCATTTATATCCAGAGATTATCTGAATTTGCTATTCAGATCCTAGTAAGGAAATATCAAATTATAAAACCATTTTTTAAAGAGCAAATTGCTTGCAGCTCCTCCACATCATCTTTTTGATTTTTGCTAGGATCATTTGATTTTGGAGGGAAAAACTGCTGTTTTCATACAACGCAATGGTTTGTTTTCTTGTGTAAATATTTCAGAGGTAGGTATATAGTACTAAATCTCAGTATTCATCATTGGCTGCTTCCTTCTCTGCAGAAAACAGCATAGAGAGGTCTGGTTTAATAAGAGAAGACTTACAAGTTCAAAGCATTGCATTGTGTTGCCTAGGATGGGGTTATGTTTATACTCAGAGCCATAGCCAAGGTCTGAAACACTGGTAGTGCATGGCAGCATCTATCCAGCCCAAAATGTTGTGCTAACTCAAGCATGCCTGATGATGTAAAAAATAAAACCTGAAAGCGTAAGACAGTCACCAGGTGGTTTCATGACCTATCCTTATTTCCAACATTGATTCATCCAGCAGATGCCAGTTCATCCCTATATTTTCCTTTGATCCAGGACCCAACACAGTGAAGATCTAGACTGCAGCACTGCTTTGTATCCTCAACTGCCGTCCTCAACAGATTCCACTGCACACTCCACTGATGGGCAACTTTGAGTCCATTGCCTCAAGATAATTTTCTTTTTCTGTATCTTACACCAGGTGTTGGACAAAAAAAGAATTGTAAAAATAATCAGGATGCTTTTTCTCATGGTTAAGCAACAGGATGCCTTTTAAGTTCGAGTGCTTACTCTGATACTGTTAATAACATGCTTTAAGACAAACAGCTGTGCCCCATCCCTTAAACACAACTTAGCATGTAATGGACCAATACAGCCGGAGAAGAGAAAGTCCATTTAGGCTTCCTTTTGAAAGGTCTTACACTTGTCTCACACATAAGTATCATTATGGTCAAGCGGATTTTCCTGTTCCTAGTGACATGCTGTGACCCACTGCTGGAAGAGTTCTGCTGGACAAGCTCTCCCTTGGAAGGAGACTGCACCTGCAACACTGAAACGCCAAGAACTGAAGATAAAGCATCAGCTGGGCTTAAGAAAAATCTCCAGGTTAAGTGATATGGAGGTCACACCTCACAGTAATTCTTTTCCTGGAAGAAGCTGTGTGAATGTTCCAGCTCTAAATTAGTTAAATAATCGCTGCCTCCCATTTATGTCTGCATTCCTTAATGAAATATTCATTTAGGGATGATATTGATGGCTTGCTGGATACAACAAATGGAAAATCACCACTGAGATTGATGCAGCTGACTCCAACTGACTCAATAAGTAGCATTTTTCACTTAAAGTAAAAGAAAAAAGGAATTTTGATATTGTTTATCATCCTTTAAATCCTTTATCCCCCATGAAGCAGAATTTATGGCTGCAGGAAGACATGTGCTCTAAGCCATTAATGTTCTTGCCCTTGTCTGTTTAAAACTAAAGCAAATTTCAGTCTTACCTCCTTTAAGAGGAAAACTGACATTTTTGACTTAGGTTATTTATCAAGGATAATTTTTACCTATAATTGGATTTGGAACAGAAACATGAGACAAGGTCCACCTTCAGTTCTCAATGCCTTTGCAAGCCAAAGGTGCTAATGAATCCCCATCCTGCTGCCAGTGAATACCCATGCCTAGGTAACCTGAGAGTGTTGCTTTGATGGAAACTAATGCAGACTTGTACCAAGAACAATGACCTGAATCTCAGTGAACCATCTTTGCAATTGCTGTTGGCCAAAAATCCCTCTACAAAGCAGAAGCTCGAGGAGAATATAGTGAAAGGAGATCTCAGGATTGTCTCAAAGATAAGCCCACCTTCCTCCCTTCTGATAAACAGGAACACTCCTGACATGGCTGAGAAGGAAGACAGCTCAAGAACAATAATAGCGAAAGGAGCTGTCAGAATTATCTCAAAGACAAGCCCACCTTCCTCCCCTCTGATAAACAGGAACACTCATGATGTAGCAGAGGAGGAAGACAAGCACAGGAAGAAGGAGGAGGATCCTCTGCTCCTGTGGGTCTTTGTGCTTTTGAGGTATCAAACCAATCACACGCAGTGCAGCCTCAGAAGAATCTGCAACCTCAGCACTTCATGTTCTTTCAGCACCACCAACAAGGATGTACTCACTGGCATCACTCAGAAGTGTCCCTTTAGAGTGGCTGTCACAGACTCCTCCACTTAGCTATGAACTGCAAGTTAGTCAGTTAAGATGTGAAACTGAAATAAAGTGGTTAACTCACTCAAAATTCTTCCTTGTTCCAGTAAGAAAAACACTTCTGCATTTTGTTGTCTCTGCCTTTCCTTTCCTCCCTGGTGTGCAGAACTGCACGTGTTCACAGCGTGTCAGAAACAGGGGGGAGGCAGATGCAACAGCTTGGGTTTGGGCAA